GGGCCACGGCGGCCTGGAGCGGTTCTGCAGCCCGGGTAAGGGCAGGGGGCTGCGGGCCCTGCAGCCCTTCCAGGTGGGGGACTTGCTCTTCTCCTGCCCGGCTTACGCCTACGTGCTCACGGTCAATGAGCGGGGCAACCACTGCGAGTACTGCTTCGCCAGGTAGGCGGCGGCGCGGGCGGGAGCGGGAGGCGCGGACCGCCGCGGGAGGAAGTGCGCGGGGCGTGCGGGGTCCTAGCGCCGGCGGCCAGGGCGGCGGCCGCTGGGTAGGGCGGGCTCCGGGAGCGACCCGCTCCTTTCCAGCCCCACGCCCGCCAGGGCCATGTGCGCTTGGGGACTGGAGCCAAGTTTCCACTGCACGTTTTCAAGCGCTAGCGTAGAATATGCAAACTGGGCGTGTAGGTTCCTGCCCTCAAAGCTGAGCTTGTTCTGAGCATGGCATGTCCGGCCCATTGGGTGCACTGGCAGCGGGGGACCCCAGATTCGAGCAATCACAGTCTTTCACCTTTAACTTGTGCTTCCTGAAGTGTGTTCTGACCCCCAAGTCCAACCCTGCTTTGGTTTGGCCATTTCCTTCAAGGAATTTAATGAGTTGATATGTAAAGTACATGACCCCTGTTCCGTCTTGCTCTGCAGTGGGTATTAGGAGAAACCTAGGGGACACCAGTGATTCTCAGGAGCTGCAATGGTAACACATATCTTGCCCTTGTTTGCGATTAGGAAAACATGGTCGCTGGGGAGATGAGGCAAAATGTGTGGTGGAAACATTAGTTAATTGTAACATTACTGTATATGATGTCCATATTCCAATGTATGACCTGTACATACATATTAACATACCCATAGTTAAACAAGACTTATGACAGTTTCAGACCTGAAAGGAACACCAGAAAACATCAATCCGATCCTGTCTCCCTTCATTTTGCAGATGATAACCACAAAGTATGTTGTGTATACACACTTATGCCTTTAATTAGGGGATGGAAACTGGCTTCAGTGTTACTGGTTTCCCTTCCTCTTAGGTGGTCTGTACATTTACTAAGGCAGGAGGCATGATGTTGGAGTCAAGTTTGTACCCAGATCTTCCACTGCTATCTGAGGAAGTGACTTTGCTTTACTCTCTTTGAACCTCAGTTTCTTCATCTTTGAAATGGAGATTTCTGGGCTAGATTATGCAGACCTGAGGTCCTGCAGGTACCTTTTGAGTACAGGTCTCAAGGCCAGCATACACTGAAGCACAATCTCTGAGAGACCTGTGTGCCTCGTTCTACAATAAGACATAGCAAAAGAAGGGACAAAGGCTGAATATTATAGTAATCTTGCCTGGACTCCCTGCCAGAACTGTCTTCCGCTTGGGGGGACCTGGAAAGGAACTAGACACAGAATCATGCCGTGGGCAGCTGAAGGGCTGTATGTGATGTGGCTCTTTGAATTGGTGAGCCAAGAGCTAAAGGGTCATGGCACCACTTTGCGACGTTTGAGTGAAGTGAGCATTGGGTTTTCCCAAAGTTAAAAAGGCTGCTGCGACTGGTCCCTTGATCTTCTGAGCCTTGCTGTGGCTTGGAGTCTGCAGCAGTGTGGGTGTCTGCAGTGGCGGGAGCAAAGCAGGTGACCCAGCACAGAAGGAGCCTCCGGCTAGGGATCCTGGTGATTCCTGGAAGCCATGGGGTGAGATAAGACCCTGCATGGCAGGTGCTTAGTAGGTACACATAGGATGGTTGCTAGTCTTCTCCAATGAATTAAAGATCAAATTTCTGAATTTAAAGGGAGAAGAGGAACTGAGAGATGTTTCTCTTTGGCTGAGTGTTCTAGTTGTATCTACTACATATACACACCCCAACTTTAGATTGTTAATGTACTGTCAGATGCAACTTCTCTAATCACCATTCTGTCTCAGGTATTCTACCACATATGACAAAGTTTGGTGCCCCATTTTTTACATTTTTGTGATTGACATTTGTTGGTGTCACTAACCATTGCCTTAGGCCCCTCTCTAGGGCTGCCACATGGAATCCGGTGGTACTACTGCACTTCCACCCTTTTCTGTTTGGCTTAGGTGAACTTCTACATGTATAGTTCCTTTTCTCTCTCTCCTCAGTCATTTGAAATCAAGTAAAGTAATACACAAGAAATCTACTCAGGAGACCCATTCATTTAGAAACACAAGGGTGCCTGCCTACACTTTACTTTCTGTTAAATCCAGTTAGTTTAAAAGTAATGGTTAGATCATTCTAATTGATTCAGCACCAGTTTCTTTGTTAACTATTTTTATATGACTGAGAACAAACCAGTCCTGAGGTATTAGGAGATCACATGGGCTTCCACAGGGCCTCACAGGAGTAGGAGCAGAAATCTACAAATACCGCATACATGTCAAAATCCACTACCTCTCCCTGTCCCACATACCTAAAAGAAAACTACCCCTTATCTATTCTTGTGCCAGAAGTTTAATATAAATAGTATTCCTTGAGATCAATGAGCCATCCAGATTTTTCCATGTCATATTGGTTATATCAGAATGTAACTTATTTCAAAGGTGAAAAATGATTTCTTCATGAATGAATGTATTCTATAAATTGAAAAATAATTGGAAATTCTTAGCTTTCTGCTAAATAGTATTTTTTTATTACCAGGACAATTCAAAGACTTGTCTCAGGAGGTTGAAATTAGTATCACATTTTCCCAGTTTGGTGGATGACACTGGGGAAGATGTGTATTTTACCTCAGATGCTATAAGGCAGCTTCTAAAAATATAAATGTCTTCTACTAGGAGCTGTCCCTGTCAGAGAGCTGGCCCCTTGATATGTTTTATTCACAAATGTGCCTGTGTAGGTGCACATGTGCAGGATGCACACCCATGGTTAAATTTTTGTGGCAGGTTTTAAAAAGATATGCAGTTACATAGAGGGTAGATGGGCAGATGTCTGCCTCATGATCCTTATTCTCTGGGTTCATGGGTCACTTAAGACCATGAATTTTGTTTTTCTTTGTTTGCTTATTCTGAGCATGGTGAAACTTGGAAGCCCTCCTGGGCCTCCTTGGAATAGAGGTGTTAAAACTCAGTTGTAGTGAATTTCTGTTATGTCTGACTCTCTTAAAGTGATTGTTTTTTAAAAAATGAAATACTTGGGTGAGCAAAACACTATCTTTAGGATGTCATGTTATAAGCAGCTGTAAAGACTTTTCCCCTAATCTTTAATAACCTTCATCTTTCCGATTGTTTTATCAGACGGGCAAAGTAAACTTTGCCATTATCTTCATTATTAAGGGTCATGAAATCTTGATGGTGTTGTCTTTTATTTATTTATTTATTTATTAGTTGTAGTTGGACACAATACTTTTATTTCACTTGTTTATTCTATGTGGTGCTGAGGATCGAACCCAGGGTCTCACGCATATGAGGCAAGTGCTGTAACACTAACCCATGCTCCCAGCCCGATGGTGTTGTCTTGAAATTCTCTGAAGTAGCCCTGGTCCAGGCCACCTGAACCTGTGCATTGGTAGGAGACATTATCCCCAGGGTTGCTGTGATTCCAGTTATTCAGAGAACATTCTCTGAAAGTTGTCCAGGGGGAGAAATGAGTTCAGATGTTCTCAAATCATCATGTTTTCTGAATGGAAAATTGGACACGTGCAATAATAGGTTTCCTTCTTTTTAGATGTAGTTCTATAAAATGGATAATAAGATTAAAATAGACAACAGATTTCCTCTAAATAGTTACATTAAAGACTACAAAGTCAGCTGCCTGTATATTAGGTAAGGAAATTTGTGTGTGAGTTAGCTTTGTATCCCTGTGACAAATACCCGAGAAAAACAACTTAAAAGAGGAAAGATTTATTTGGCCCTCAGTTTCAGACATGGCTGGCTGGCTTCATTACTTTGGATCTGAGTTGAGGCCGAGCTTCACCCCTGAAGGGCAAAGCTGTTCACCTTATGCAGCCAGAAAGCCCCAGGGGTAGGTGCAAGGGCATGACCCCAAGGACCCACTTCCTGCAACTAGGTCCCCTTCCCACAGCCTTCACCTCCCAGTAATTCATCCAGCTATTGATGATTAATCCACTGATGGGATCAGAGCCCTATGATCCAATTATTTTCCTAAATCCCCATCTGAACTTGAGGACCAAACAAACCTTCAATACATGAATCATTGGGGGGGGGGTCACTTCCTATCAAAACCATAACATAATGTGTTTTTACTTTCAATATTTCCAGTTTTTTTTTATTTATTTAGATAGAGATAGTGAAGTAGGGACTTTGTGCCACATTAACTATATCTGAATTCTAGGGTCCTCCCTTCCTGATGGTTGTCTTTACGTAGGTTATTTCTTGACCTCTCTGAACTCCCAGGTGCCTTTGTAAAATAAGATCTGCATTCTAACACCTACCCTATCAAGCTAGCCTAAATGAGATTAAAAGTCAGGTTCTCAGCACAATCCTGGCAGCTAGTAAACTGCCAGTCACCCTGCTCTCCTGCTTGTTCTTATCTAATGAGCTCTTGTGGCTAAATGCTCCTGGCTTAGTTGAATCCTGTGGTAAAAATTATAATTTCAGGGGTATTTATAGCAGTAGGGTGGCAGTGGAAGATAATGGGAAGGATATTGGCAAATTGTTGCTGGTTGAAGCCCTACCAACATAGCAGCCTGACCCAGAGTTGAAACCAGCATTTCTTCATTTTGAGTCCCCCAGAAATAATTATGGGTGTTTGGGATCATATTTCATTGTGTTGCAAATCCTAATGAAAATGCTATGACACATCTATACAGGTAAAGCCTCTTGACCTTCTTCTAACTCCAGAGTTCTTAGACACTTTTAATACTGTTTTAACATAAGATTAAACAAATATTTATGAAGAGAAATGGAACAGAATTTTCCATATAGCAAAGATATTGTGATTTCATTTTCCTCTTTACTTTTAACATGGTTCTTTCAGCTATGTCAGGGATCCATACTTTTAAGACTTCAAATGTGCCAGGAGCCATAACACATATATTTTTCATATGCAGAGAATATAATTTCTCTTACAGTTTATAGGGAATCAGTGACCAAGCTGCACATTTGGAAGCGATTTCAGATGAAAGAGACAGACTAGCAGCAGGATATCCTGAAGTGAAATTCAAACCCTGGAGAGTTAAAAACCACCATCTAACACCTTTCCCTCCTG